GTGTGTGTGTGTGAGGAGCTCCGGCTGTCTGTCGGCTTTTATACCTCCCGGCTGTGTGTTGTCCCAGCAGCAGGCTGAGTGAAGCTCCCCTTCCTTGTTGGTGTTTGGTGTTCTGCTGAGTGCTCACTATGCTGCTTCCCAGTCCAAAAGCTGCTGGCTTGTGAGCCTCTTGAGTGGACCTCAGGCCATCCTGACCTGCGTTCGTCCCAGAGGAGACACAGCAGAGATGCTTTGATGCTTTTGCGGAGACTGTAGCAATCAGGAGATTTTCTGGAAGCGACAGCCTGGGCTCCATCCCTTGGGGGACTGCCCGTGTAAACAGACCTTGTCTCCAAGGGCAGGGACGAGGAGGGGGGCAGTCCTGGAATCTGAGCTCTGAGCCAAGGGAGGGTGGCCCAGCTGAGGACAGGTCTGACGATGCTCAGCCGGCCTGGCCACGGGGCAGGATGCACCGTGTGGGGTGATGCCGCTGGTTGCAGTGGGCGTAGATTGGACTCGCTCTCCCGGGAGGGAGTCCTGGGGCAGGTGTGAGGACAAAGTGTCCTGGGGGCAGAGACTGGCTCACAGAAGGGGCCAGGGTCACAGGTGTGGGCTAGCACCGTACGAATGACCGTGAGGGGCGATGTGTCTACTTCATCGCTTCATTCCCCATGCTTGCTTCCACACCTGAGACCTAGTGAGCACATAACACCCTACATAGCCCCTCACGTCCTCGTGGACACTCGGCCATGGTACTCTAAGCTGCAGGCCTCCGGCGGGGGCTTGTTGGGGCCCAGGGGGCTTCAGGGTTTAAAGCCTCACTGACCCCTGATGGATGGGACTGGGGGCTCTGCCAGTCAGCCCTCAGTGGACAAATGTTATTATCTCAAAGAAATAGTGGCTTAAAACTTACCGAATCTATTGAAAAACTTTAATCTACACATCCAGGAGGCTCAACGCACTCAAATAAGTTACGCACAAAAGACCCGCAGACAGACACGTCGTGGCGAGGGTGCCGATGGCAACGTGGATCCACAGGAAAATGGGAACAGAACCAGAAATGATGAAAAGGCCAGGAGAGCAAAAGCCTTGCATTTCATCTTGTTTTCCTTTCTTCTCTCAGCTTCTTCGAAGTCATAAAAGGCATTAGGTAATAATTACAATACATTATTGGGTTTTTTACATGGACCGATGGAGTGTGTGTTAACAGCAAGACCATGAAAGGGGACAAGAAGGGACAGCATCCCATACGAAAGGGACAAGAAGGGACAGCGTCCTGTATGAAAAGGAGAATGTTTTTATGTCACGGGAGTGGAGCTGGTATAAATCAGAAGCTAATTCGGCTAAGGTAAAATAAACACGCGTAAGCCCTAGAGAGCAAACACTAGGAAAAACTTTTCTTTAAAGTGAAAAATCATTAAATAAAAAAGCCGCCTGAGAAAACATTCACTAGGTGCACAGGAACGCACCAACGGAGGACGAGAGGAACGCAGGCGGGCGATGTGAGACGCAGAGGGAGAGGAACGGGTGGTAGCAGATGCTCCCTCCAGCTGCGGCTGGTTCTCCCCGCGGGCGGCGGTCACGTGATGGAAAATCGCCGCTCACGCTGGATTAGCAAATGTTGACGCTTGGCTCCTGGGGGACTAGAGTCAGGTTCCTGTGAGCCCCTGGTCTCATTTTCATCAACCGATCAATACAGAACCCCGTTTCATGTGTGTCCAGGAAAAAACACAGCGTCTCCCTTCACCCGCACATAACGCTCCTGACGCCAGCTGCGTGGGTGCCCCATGATTAAGTTCCATTCCGACACTCCCCAGCGCTAGCGCAGACCCCAGGTTAAGGGTGCGGGCCACGAGACTGCCCCCACTTCAGAGGCCAGCCACCGGTAGTAGGTGCCCAGTTACCCACAACGTCTGCCTGACTTGGCTACAGAACGGAGGTTCCTGTGACCTCCCCCTCGGGGTTATTACTTTGCTAGGGAAATAGATGAGCTCTATTGCTGATTTGTTACAAAGGTTATTTTAAAGGATACAGATAAACAGCCGCATGGAGGGATGCGCAAGGCGAGGCCTGTGGCAGGGGGCGGCGAGTACAGGAGCTTCTCTCCCTGTGGAGTTGGGGTGCGCCACCCTCCTCGGCACATGGACACATTCACCAGACTGGAAGTTCTCAGAATTCTGCACGTTGGGATTTCTACAGAGGCTTCCTCATGCAGGCACGATCTGTCATTAACTAAGTTTCTAGCCACTCTCCCCTTTCCTGAGGATGGGAATGGAGCCTACAGCATGAAGCTTCTAACCAAAGCTTGGTCGTTCTGGTGAGTAGCCCCCATCCTGAAGCTAACCCAGAGTCAATCACCTCATTAGAACAGAAATCATTCCTACCACCCAGGAAGTCCCAAGGCATTTAGGAGCTCTGTGTCAGGAACTGAGGTCAAAGACCAAATATTAGCAAGAACCAGGGACAGAGACACATATATTTTATTATACACATATTCTATATATATATCATATTATATATCTCAACATACATTATTATTTCACAGTGAATATCTAGCATTCATTGCTGATTCTCTGAACTCACCTCCAATTGCAACATAACTCACACCAAAAGGAAGCTTATTTAACACATGTATTTTCTCCATGAGGCACATCGCAGCCTTCTTGCATAATGAGGCCATGTCAAGCAGTGACATCACCAAAAGAAGCACAGGATCATGGAAAATGTGGCACTAAATAGACAGCACAAGACACCTGTTTGACCTCCACTGGGAACCTGTGTGTGGGGACACCCAATGTTTTGCTGCTCAATGCACATCCATGAAACACTGTGAAAGCACTGTGAGAATTGACTTTGAGATTACAGATCAATTTTAGTGAGTAGCTGAAGTTGCAAACGCCAAATCCATGAATAACGAGGATCAATAATAACATCAATTGTGAATGAATTAAATAATACAATCAAGGGGAAGATTGTTAGACTGGATAAAATTGAGATTCAACTATATACTCATTATAGGAGACACACTTTAGAGTCAAAGATACAGCTAGACTGGAAGTAAAAGGATAGGAAAAACATATGCAAACAGCAGCCACAAGAAAATATTAATATTTACTAACATCAGATAAAGTAGACTTTAAAACAAAAATTGTTACTAGAGACAAAGAGGGATATTTTATAATGATAAAAAGGTCAATCCATGAGGAACATGTAACAATTACAAACACATATGCAAATAATAACTGAGTACCAAAATAGACAAAGCAAAAGCTGACACATAAAGGAAAAAAATAGACCATTCAATAACATTAGTTGAAGACCTCAATATCCCAATTTCAACAATGGAAAGAACAACTGGAGAGAAGATCACCAAGGACATGAAGAGTACTGTAAACTAGCAAGACCTAATGGACATCTGTAGCACACCCCAACCAACAACAGCAGAATGTACGTCCTTCAGTAACGCACATGGCACATCCAATAGGACAGAGCACAGGCTAGGCCATAAACAAATGCCAGTACGTTAAAATGGATACAAAAATGCAAAGTATGTTCTCTGACCACAGGGGAATGAAATTAGAAATTAGTAACAGAAAAGAAATTGGGGGAATTCATAAATATGTGGACACTAAACAACACACTCCTAAATAACCAAAATGTCAAAGAAGAATTCAAAAGGGAAATCATAAAATACTTTTAGGGGCACCTGGGTGGCTCAGAAGGTTGAGCGTCCGACTTCAGTTCAGGTCATGATCTCATGGTTTGTGGGTTCGAGCCCTGCATCGGGCTCTGTGCTGATAGCTCAGAGCCTGGAGCCTGCTTCAGATTCTGTGTCTCCCTCTTTCTCCCCCCTCCCTGCTTGTGATCTCTCACTCTCTTTTTCAAAAATAAATTTAAAAATTTTTAAAAATTAAAAAAATACTTTTAAATGAATGAAAGTGAAGATCGAAATACTAGAACTTACAGGATGCAGCTTCTTAGAGATTTACAGCTGTAAGTTGCTATATTCCACTTTAAGACATGGCAGACAAGCAGAAGGAAGGAAATGATAAAGATCAGACCATAAATAAGTTAAACAGAGAATGGAAAAATAATACAGCCAATAAAACTGGTTCTTTGAAAAGATCAATAAAATTGACAATCCTTCAGCTACATTGATCAGGGAGAGAGAGACAGACGGAGAGACAGAGAGAGAGAAGACTCAGATGGTGAGAATCAAAAATGAAAGAGAGAACAGTGCTGTCAGCCTTTACAGAAACAAAGAGGATTACAGAGAAATGCTATGAACAACTGTGTGCCGAGAAATTATATACGTTAGATGAACAAATCCTTAGGAACAAAATAACTGTCAGACTGGTACTCTAGAGGCTGTAGAACATCATTTTGTTGCATTAAAGAAAATATAAATCCGTGGGAAAACACCCCTGTTTAAGGATGAGAAGACCTGGGGCGCCTGGGTGGCTCAGTTGGTTAAGCGTCCGACTCTTGATTTCGACCCGTGTTCGGGTCATAATCTCACAGGTTTGTGGGTTCTAGCCCTGCTGCGGAGCCTGCTTGGGATTCTCTCTCTCCCTCTCTCTCCCTGCCCCTCCCCTGCTCCCTCCCTCCCTCTCTCAAAAATACAACATAAAGAAAGCCACTTGTATAAAAGCTGCTTCCCGGAGTGATGTAATTTGAGTCCCCTGGGTAGCGCTATCTCGGTGATAGGACGTGTTCACCACATGCTGTACTTAATCCCCTATGTAGAAGCACTAGGATAAAAGACGTTTCTGCAACACAAGTTTTACCCGAAGAAATAATCACTGAGCACAGCAGGAAGTAAGAGATGAAGCGGACAGCACAGCCAGTCCGTGGGCAGTACACACGTCAGAGTCGTCCAGAGTAGAGTCCTTGCGTCCAACTATTGGAGTCATGTTCAGGACAGTAGCTGACAAGACAGAGGCTTTACACTGAGAAGTGGAATTTATGTAAAGCAGAAGAAAACAGAAATTATAGAAAGGGGAAAATGCAGTGAATGGAGTAGAAAACTCGGCAGGCTTGACGGCAGGAAAGAGAGGGGCTTTCGTGAGCAGATGTCACTGACGCATCGGGGAGTGTCGCCTTCCACAGCACAAGCCAACAAGGACTGTGACCGGGGGTGGAAGGGCCCTCCTTTCCTAACTGAGGACTCTGACCTGGTCACACACCTATGAAGTGCACTGTCCTGGGCCCCATGGGGAAGCAGCAACGGGCCCCTGGGGGCCTCACCTTGGGGGGCTTCCAGCCTGGTGGGGGGATGGGAATATTAGCTGGACCTGAGGTGGATGAAACCGCAGATCGCAGGTAACCACGTCCAAAAGGGCCTGTTCTTACCGTTTTATTGTCTACATTTCCCGTGAAGAGACGGCAAAGTAAAAACTCTAAGCATCATCCCTAGCCTTCGACGGTTCAGCCCACCAGAAAAATTTCCATTGCAGGAATTACCGGTACGAATTCCCAGCAAACGGTGCCTCAGGTTCTGCTTGCACACACACTGTGACGGGGACCTCACTACCTACCGAGTCCGGCCACTCTGACCCTACAGATACCGTAGGAGCCTCTGGCTGGAGCCTGGCCACAGTCTGGAGCGGCCGTGCCCGCTGTACGCGGGGGCAGTGAGGACATCACAAACGAACATGAGTAAAAAGCATCACTGACCTTAGGGGGAAGATTGGGAACTTTCAAGGTTATGACGATCGAAAATTCTTCAGGGAAGAGGTCGCATTGGAAGAAAATCCTCGATGCGGGGAAGCTCATGGCGTGGGGGGCGGCGGCCGAGAGCTGGAGTCCTCGCACGCCATTCGCCTGTGTCACCCTGATTCCGCCCGCAGCGCCATTTGGAGGGAGGGCCTCTGCCAGGATGTCCAGGGGGCGCAGGTCTGTGTCAGGGAAACCACACGTGGGTTACGCGGGTGCTTACAGGGTGCCTGGCGCGGCAGGCTCTGAACCCTCATGGGGCCCCTACGAGTTTCCCCTTGAACCAGTGGGGAAACTGAGGCCCCGAGGGTTAAGACGGCAGTTGAGTCTGCGGCGACCCCTCCCCCCTCCGCCAAACCCCGGAGCACATCCCGCGGCGCCACTGTTTCCCAGTTGATAGCCGAGCCCTGTGCTGGGCGAGCCAGGGGACAGAGGACGGACGAGTCCCCTCGGGGGCTGGGCTTCAGGAGTTCAGGGACCCTGGAACGTGGAGCATGGCATTTCCTGTGGCCTCAGCGGGGCTCCGTGACTCGTGTCCCCGCGTGCTGTGGAAGGTAGGGCCGCCACGGGACGGGCACTGCTCCTCACACAGCCTGCAGAGGGCAGACATGCTCCCGGAGAGCCTCCGTCCTACAGCTCAAGGTCGTCAGCAACACAGCTGAGGGGCTGGCCTGCCTCAGCTGAGGCCAGATGATGGGAAAGGAAAATGGGGAGCCCCGAGGGGGGCACCTGTGCCCAGAGAGGCTGTTTCTGGACCAACTCACAGGGCCCGGCCTCCAGAAAGGAGGTGCCGGCTTGGAGTAGAGCCCGTGGCTGCCGCCCGGACCCTTCCCGACCCGGCCACGTGAGGTCAGCGGGCAATGACAGTGGAGGCTGACCTGAGGTCCAGTGTGGTCTGTCACAGGTGTCCCTCCCGCCCTCCCTACAGGAGCCATGGTCCCTTGATTCAGTGTCCTTCCAGGAGGGAGAAGCTTCCCTGGGACAGGAAGCCCCATGACCGGGGTCTTGAAGGGCTTTCTGTGCCGTCGCAGCCTGGCGAGGCCCATGGCATACACCCGCTTGCATTGGTCTGGGACATAGTGACCTGTGTCCTCTCCCAAGTGCAAGGCCTGTCCAGGACGGACACTGTGGTACCTCCATTTCCCCAGAAGTGTGTGGCCGGCCCCTGGCCTATCGTCGTTGCTGGATAAATGTCTGCCACACTGATGTGAACTGGGCAGGGAAAGCGGGGTACCCTGCAGAGGGTCTTGAACACGGGTTGTGCCTGCCGCCACAGGCTGAGAGCCTCGAGGGACACAGGCTGTGTCCGCCGCTCATGGTGAGGGCGTGGGCAGAGAAACAGCGGCAAGAGTAGTTTGTAGCAGGTGCTGGGCCCAGGAACCCGGACCGCCTCCCGTGAGCACACAACGCCACTTTGGGTTCGTGGCTGGCTCCAAGTAGACGGACGTTCGGCCGTCACTGACCGGTCCTCTGGTTTACCAGGGGAACAGCTCTTCAGAGCAGGGTCGCCGTCACCAACGAAACCCAGAAAACTTCAGCGGTGACTGCCGCCCCTCTGGCTGGCTCTGTCCTCACGGGCACTCGGCACACCTTTCCTGTTGTACGGGTTCCGAGCCCAGTCCCCGCTGGCAGGGACAGACGGCTAATATTTGGGGACGGTTGCCAGCTTCCAGGCGCCTCTGCGGGCTACGTCCACCTCATGCACAACTGGCCCAGGCTGGTGTCGCACAGAGGACGTGACCGATTCCCTGTGCCTGGAAAAACCTCGAAGGCCTTGATCAGGGTGCAGAGGAAGGGCACCCAGCCCTCTGTCTGCTCTCTGAACGTGGGTGAGGACACCAGGTGACCAGAGTGGAGAGCTCCTTCCCAGCGAGGCTGGGGAACATCACTCCCTCTCCTGAGTCACATGGCCACCCACCGCAGTCACACCGGACCAGACCCCAGCAGCCGGGGCAGACGTACATCTACAGTTCTCAGGCAGCCCACAGAATAATCCAGAAAACCCAGGGACACCCTCCCTTAGGGGCTGAACCAGTGATCCTCCTTGAAGCAAGGGCTGTGGCTCGGGGGGGTGGGGGTCTGGGGTCACTTCCAGCCTGTTGGGGGACGACATGATCACGACTCCCCATTTCTGTGAGAAGCAGAGTCTGGAGGCAGCACCAGTGAGAATGGTGGGTGGCGACTGATGCATCTGAAAGGGGCTTTGCTGTTCCCTAGTTGGACCCCCTTCTGAGGACAGGGCAGGCTGAGCTCGCAAACCCTGCCCCCGCCCTGGGCCAGCAGCCCCGTCAGAGGCCACCCCCTGCAGGGCTGAGCAGCCAGGTGGCCTGGGACCAGGACCCGTGAGGATAGGACACATTTCCCCCCCCTCGGATCAGAGGGACGTGAGAAGGAAAGTCTGAAACAGGAGTTCAGAGGACAGGCACCAGGTGCAAAGAAGAAATGACGAGACAGCGAGCCGTGAGCGTGTGGTCCAGAGTCGGGGAAGACGGGTCCCAAGCGCTGCTGGGTTGCAGCACTGAGTGCCATCGGGACTTGGGGGCCAGGCGGAGGGCGCAGAACGATGGGCACCCCAGTATGGATACTCCGGCTCCCTAATGCCCCCAGCAGGACACCGAGCAGGGCTGTGCCCCCGGGGCTCACAGGAGGGGAGCCCGGAGCAGCCATTGCAGTGGGGACCATGGACCTGCCCACGCTGCCCAGGAGCATGGAGCACGACCCAGATCACACCTGCCCCCTCCACCCCCTCCACGCCCCCCACCCCCCCATGGGTTTCACCGTCAGATCCCTGCCAGTCGCTGGTCAGGAGGAAGCTGTGCACGGTGCGTGGGGGCCAGTGGGGCGCGAGAGGGGCCTGAACTGGGTCGGGAGGACAATGATGGATGCCTCTGGGGGGCGCTGTGAGGAGGGGCGGGTATATCAGCATTGTCACTATTGTTCCCGTGTTACAAATGGCACGTGGAGAGCCGGGAGACCATGGGCTTCTTGGAAAGAGCGGCGCTAGAACTCCCTCCTGGAGAAGGGTCTGTGTCCCTCAAGGGTCTGCACGCCAAGGGCAGGGGTTACCCCTGAGGCAGCTTTGGGGGGGGGGCAGGGTCCCAGACCGACTGTAGGGAGGATACT